GGGGATCTGGGGCTTCCAGCCGGGCCAGGGGATCTGGGGCTTCCAGCTGGGCCAGGGGATCTGGGGCTTCCAGCTGGGCCAGGGGATCTGGGGCTTCCAGCTGGGCCAGGAGACCTGGGCACTGGGGCTGTGGAGCTGCTCTGGCGGTGAGCTGTATACCACACCCGCTGGCCTGATGGCATGATTCTGAGCTGCGGAACAGAGACAGGCCGTCATGAGCTGCCCTTATCCTGGAAAGTCAGTCTGTCACACACTCGTCTCTTCCCCAGCATCAAACCCAAAGGACACCATCTACCTATAGGCACTTCCAAAATCCCACCCATGGCCAATCTGTAACTTAGCCTCTTCCATTCATTACAAGGTCAACAATCCCATGGTATGCCAGGCATGAACAGTCTAGATGGGTTTCAATAGAGGCTGTGTGTTAGGGATTGCCAACATGGTGGCTGGGCACCTGTTGGCCATCCTTACCCATGCTGATGAGAGACGCCCACTGCGGCTACTATTTATGTCTATGCTCTGCAAGGCTGAACCCATACCATAGAATACTAACAGGTCCCATATGGAGAAGTCAGCTCCAAAGTCGCTAGCGGCTTCTGTACCAGAACCAATTGGACACTGGGCCCTAGCAGTTCATGAGCTACCTGGAACAATTAGGAGGGGTTTGAACTTGGTCCCAGTGTGGGTCCCTGATTTGAATGGTACACGTCTGAGTTGCCAGCAGATATGTAAGGATTCTGGGATGATTGGGAGAACCACATGGCCCATAAAGCTCTGAGAAACAGAGAGGGCCTTAGTAGAGGCCTGAGGCTTTTAACAGCTGCAGCCTGGAATCTAGGGCTAGCTTGTTTGGTAGGGATAAGGACAAGTGCCAGGGGTTAAAAAAATGATCCTTAGTCAATGGCCAGAGGAATGAGGCTGCCTTAGACATGCCCACTCACACACTTGTGCAGAGGGACAGACAGACAGACAGACAGACAGACAGACAGACAGACACACACACACCATCTGCCCTGTTCTGCCAATATCAGAATCATACAGATTCCTGTCAAGAAGTGGGATGTAGAAGATTCAGGCCTTCTTTGACCCCTTCCCCTACTTCCCTGAGAGGAATGCTAGAAACACACTGACCTCCCCTGGGCCAGGCTGCCACTTCAGGAGCCACAGGCATCCTGATCAGAGAAGGGTATTTCACAGCAAAAGTATTGGTCTTATGACCCATGGAGATCAGCAGTCACGCAAGGATAATCCCTCTCCCTGCCTCACTGGTCAACCCTGAGTGGGTGAGTAATCAAAATGGCTCAAGGATTGCTGAGTCATCACTGGGTCTGTGTGAGTCATCTGACATCTCTGTGACATCATGAGGGCTCCAGCCTTCTGGCATTTGAAGTCACCACTTCCTGGATGCAGCAGTGGCCTTGACAAGTCTGACAAAGTCTATCCTCCTCTGACCTGTGCTGTTTGTAAGACTGATTCCTTGGTACCAGGCCTCACCTTCTGTAAAGGGGCCTCACCCCAAGTCTGTATAGATGAAAGGTTGAGCTGACCTTACCTGGTAGCTAGGAGTCAGCAGTTCCTGGGCATGATCCTCTTCACTGGGCACAGCAAAGCTCTGTGCCTCTAGGCTCACTTGTTCCCCCTCCTTCAGGTCCGGCCCAGCCTCTGCTCCACCTGGCAGGTGTTCCTCCACAGGCCAGCAGCCAACAGCCTTCTGTGGTACCGGTCCAACAGGCGCACCTCTTCTGTGTATGTGGGAATGGAAGGTATGCTGTGTGTGTTCATCCAGGAGCTGGCTGACTGAGACAGGTGTGAATTCTCAGGCCATGAGCTTTGAAGCAGGGTTATTTATACCTTCTAGGTAACAGCAACTGGGGGTGTGGCCCTGAACACCTTAGACATCAGAGATTGGCTGGTCTTTCCCTGGCAGGCCCAGAACGGGTGGGGAGCCAGAATAGGTCTAGGGTCAGCACAGACCTCTAGTCTTGGGACTCAGGATCGAGAGTAGATGCTCATGTATTCGGATAAAGCCCCTCTCCTTTGGAAAGCAAGTGTGCCCACCTGGTCCCGAGTGTACTCAGCAGGGACCTTTCACTGAGTCTAACACACACTTAGACACACTCAATTTGTACTTTTTTGCCCCATCTACCTGTGCCCATCAATGTCCTGCCCTTTCTTCTCCCATCTCATCTATATTCTCACAATTGCTTCATGCAAAACCCTCATCTGCTGCTGCTCCAGCACCCTACTGCCTTTGGGGAGTTCCTTGTCCTGGAGCCCAGGAATAGAGGTGAAAGGTCATGGCTAGGCCGGCCTGGGCAACAGCCTAGGTGATGGGTCAAGAATAAATATTAGGGATGCTGGGCGGATGTGGTGCACAACTTTAATCCTTTAAACTCTGAAGGTAGAAGCAGATGAAACTCTGTGAGTTCGAGGCCAGCTGGTCTACAGAGCTAGTACCTGGACAGCCAACCCCCTCCCCAGTCTTAAACAAACAAACAAACAAATAAATAAACAAATAGAGGCCCAGGTTGACTACAATAGTTTGTGGGTACCTGCTTGTTCCAGACTTCAGGAAGGATCACGTGTTCTTAGAAAGATGGAATCTCAAGAAGCTTTGCCCAGGTGACACAGTAGAAGTGTTGGTCAAAAAGAGTTGATGGACAAGGAGTGTCTAGGGATGGGATAGGAAGTACCACTCTGGAGTGGGATGAACTGGAGACTGGGAGCAGGAGCATAGGCAGTCCTTGGCCTGCTCCAGGGCCATTGAGCTGAGATGGTCTTGCTGACCAGATGCCACCCACTTTGGTCAGGCCAGGTTCTTCCTTAACCTTGAGGTTTAGTTGTCTTCTGGCCAAGCACAATGAACTGTGGGATCCTGAGATAGGAGCCCCCACATAGGCCCTGGGGGAGGGTATATTGCTGGGAGGGATCTCATGAGGATAGAATAGCTGTACTCAACTACCCAAAAGTACCCACTGACCACCCAATGGTCCAAATCCCCAAAAGCTGTCACAATTTTGCTCTTAGATATCTTTATGATCAAGGCCAACTTTGAAGGGAGCTAAGATATGGGAGACTGAGGGAACCTGGGGACAATGTCCTATCAGAGGAAGGGGCCTGAGTATTGGAAGAATTGAGGTTCTCCTGCCTAATTCTTATGAGTACTAATAATCAAAAATGGGGCCCACGGAATTAGGGGTTCAAGGGAAAATGGAGGTCCAGAGAGGAGGTGGGTCCCTAAGGATGGTGTCCTCTGAAGGGTCCAGGACTGTAGAGGGCATGAGGGTGCTGAAGAGGAAGAGCTGCTGAGGCCCAGTCCACGTGTTCTGCGTAGAGCATGACTCTGTGTCACAAGCTGCCTCTAGGAAGCTAGAGTCTCAGATGCTCTGGGAACAACCTTCAGAAGGCTCCTGGGAATATCCAAGTTCTGAGGTCACCAAGGCTCTCCAGTGAGCAGTCAATGTCCAGAGGCAAGTATGCTGTGGGACCTTAGGAATCTATTAGGCTTCTCCCAGGCCTGACCTAAGGGGAGTCAACTCCCTGCTGACAGAGGGACCAGGCCTTGGAGGAGCTCCAGCCAGTATAGGAAGAACTCAGATTACACTATCAAGGGCAGTAAGTGGGGTCCATCTTGACCTGATCCTAACCAGCAGGCAAGTCAATGTGTGGGTGTGCACATCAAAATACCACCACCACTGAGTATGTGTATGCATTTGTGTTAGCATGTGCCCATAAGGTCAACCTTATTTCCTATCTTCTCACTCTGGACCCCACAGCCCTAGGGGTTCCCTCTCTAGGAGAGGTTCTTATTGACCCCATCCTTGTACCAAAGTGGTCACAGTCCCTCAGTAGTACCCCAAACTTACCCTGATGACAGTCCTCACCACCACGGCTACTGACTTGGCTGCAAGTCCCTGATGCACTGTTGGGAAACAAGATATGGCTAGTGTATGAGGTCTTTTAAGACCAGGACTTTTTCTTTTAGGTTCTTAGTCTTAGGCCCACCCCTCATCTCTGCTAACCATTCTGCTATTTTCCAAACAATGGGTATGGGAGGTTGGCTGCATATTCTCACTTGGTACTGGCTGCCCTATGGCCAGAATTCCTCCTAAGACTACAGCTGCTGAGTAAAAACTTGTTTCCCCACAAGTAGGTGGATATTGGTGATGAGATGGAACAGAAAGACTCTGGGGTAGGGGGTGCCATTTGGTTTGGCAATTTGCCCCATCTTTTAGGGCTGCATGTAGACCTGGTCTCACACTGTTTAGACATAAGGCAGCCTGAACAATGGTGTCCTTCTGTATTTCCAGCAGTGGAGACAAGGTCTCCAAAGACCTATCCGTGGCACCAGGGAGCCAGACTGGCAGCCACTTTCTCATGCTGCCTTCCTTGGTTGCTGCCAACATCTCTTTCCAATTCTCATTAGAAATCATTCTGGAGAACCCTAGGCCTTAAGGTGTTTAAGTTGGCTAAAGCACCCAACCTTGCTTTAGGCCCAGGGTATCAAGCTATGAAAAAAGGGATGATGGGTCAGACTCCATCTTATTGCTTAAACTACTTCACATCCTTCCCCAGGGCAAGGTCTTTGGTTTCAGAACAAAGGATCTAGGTCTGGAAACCTACACCTTAGCCGACAGGATCTTACTCCCCAGAACTTTTCTGAAATACAACCAAGGACAGAGGGATGGTCTTTGGATGCCAAACTCATTTCAGGTTTCTACAGATGTCTTGGGCCACAGCCTTCTAACCAGTGCATAAAGATAGCCACAGAAGTTACAAAGCAAGGGCAGTGTCTTAGTGTTCTCTTGCTGTGATTAGACACTATGACCTCAGCAACTCTTATAAAGGAAAATATTTAATTAGGACTTACTGTTTCAAAGGTCTAGTCCATTATCAGCATGGCAACATACAAACATGGTGCTGGAGAAGAAGTTGAGAGTTCTACATCCAGACCCACAGGCAGCAGCAGGAAGAGAAAGTCACTGGGCCTGGCTAGAACTTTTGAAACCCAAAGCCCACCCCCAGTGACACACCTCCTCCAACAATCTCACACTTCCTAATCACTCTCAAGTAGTGCCTCTCCCTAAAGACTAAGCATTTAAGTATTTAAGTCCATGGGAGAGCATTCTTATTCAAACAACCATAGGCAGGACTTCTAGAATCCTATAGTCTCATTCTGTACTCTTTATCTAGTTCCTCTACTAGTCAGGAGACAAACATTTCCACATCTACCCACGGGCTTTGAGTGGAAAGTCCAAGCTGGACTCAGGTGGCCTGCATAGAGAGTCCTACTTTCCCGAAGGGTGACTTAGATCCACAAACTGTCTTGGCTCCCACAAAGCCTAGTGATGTATCTGTAGTCTTTTTTTTTTTCTGGATTTTTGTTTTGTTTGAGACAGGGTTTCTCTGTATAACCCTGATTATTCTGGAACCTGCTTTGTAGATCAGGCTGGCCTTGAATTCAGAAATCCACTTGCCTCTTCCTCCCAAGTGCTAGGATTAACAGTGTTTGCCACCACATCCATCTGAATCTGTAGTTCTCTCTGAAGGGTCATTGATTGGTACCTTCTATCTCAAGTCCTAAGGAGCTGGGTAGTCACCTCATAAAAGACAGTGTCCCGAAATGTGAAGGGTGGCATGTAGAACAGACCAAGGCCACATGTGTGGATGGATTGCTGTATTGCCAGTCCCACCAGGTAACAGATGGCAGGTCCTGGATCCTGCTGAAGGGGTTCTCTTTGCCTTCCTGATTCCATCCCCTGAACATGGCAATGGGGCAGGTGGCCCACATACATTGAATAGATGACCCCTGGATAGTAAGGCTAGAGGAGAGAATATCTAGGCTAGTTTAATTGGTCCAAATTTAAATCACTGCTGCTACCTTAGCTACTGGTTCAAGTCTGGGAAAAGTAAGCTTACATCCCTTTTAATAAGATCAGATGTGGGCCATGTTGAAGATGTTAGACACCCTTGGTCCATAGAGGGAGGTGGCATTGGTTAACAGGGCACCTTCTTCCACAGGAGCATATGCCTAATGCTACCAGCCACAAGTGCTCACAGGCACACTGCTTTGGAGGCTTGAAAGAGCAAAGACAGGACCACTGGTCAGCATGCTCTCAACAAGCCCAGCGACACAAATGATCTGCAGGTGTCCAGATATGGAGGCCTCATGGGTAAACATTTTGAGTATCCAGCCTGAAAGGTTTGGAGTCTGTCCCTGGGAGACTAGGTTCTGCTGGTTCCTAGAATCAGGAAACCCAGGACATTCAATTCTACAACTCTCAAAAATGTGTGTCCTGGAGGTTAGCACATAAATTATCAGGCCAACGCTGGAGCAACCTATCTCTGGTATCAGTTTTCAGGTTGTTTTCTCCACTCTCTGGACCTTGGTTTCATTCTTCTTAGCTTGAAGGTGATGGAGAGAGTCCTGTCAAAGGGCTCCACTGGGTGGCCTCCAGATGTTTTGACCATTTGGATCAGGCCTGTGTTGAAGCTGTTACAGATGCTGGAACTTTGCTGTGACTCCTGAGGGGCCCAGACTCTATATGACTTGTTCTTGAGTTCTCAGGTCTCACAGAGGGTTAGTCCTGTTAAACCACACAGTAAGGGTGGGACAGAAAATCTCATTGCATAGAGGTTAGCTCCCCCTAGCATCTGTACATATCTGTCCCTGGAGCCAATGCTTGCCTATCTTAAGCCCCAGGACCTTTGTGTGTTGAGTTCACTGGAGGGGAACCTTGGGTCTCCAATGCCCTCTAGGTCAGACGTTGCTGATGTGGGCCTCTACTGTGGAGAAGGCAGAAGGATTCCTGTTCTTGTCCGGGTGCTGCTCACGCCTGATGTATCTTGGCTTCCTCACTGAAATGGGGTTAGAGAGAAGCTGAATCAGAAATAGGTAAGGTTCAGATCTTTGCCAGCACCATAGGCTCTCGGGATCACAGTCAACAGTCGGAGCACAAAGCCCACGTACGGAGTTTATTCCAGGGAGAAAGTGATGCTTATTAGGCTCCCTTTGTGCAACGGTTGTGTCTTCTGACAGAGGCACCCATGAGCTCAGCTGTTTCCTATTAAGACCCCCGGACTCCACACCCTGGTACCTGGGCCTGGATCAGAGCCCAGCTATTCCTTAAGACAGAAGCACAGACTATATCTGCATTATGCTCTACAGGGAGTTGGATGGCACTCTCTAAAGACAGGCTCACACCCGAGTTTTGAAGTTTATGAACAAAACCCTAATTTGAAAGAAGGTCTGTGCAGATGTGATTCTATTACAATAGGTGAGATCATCCCAGATTAACCAGGTGAGCTTTGAATCCCATGACTATTATCCTCCTGAAAGGGAGAGAGAGACATGGATGATGTGGCCGCAAGGCCACAGGAGGTATGAGACACTAGGAACTGAGACATGAAGGATTCCCTATCCACCAGGCCTTGGAATGTATGTCTCTCACTTGACATCTTGATTTCTAACTTCAGGCTTCAAGAACTATTAAGGGACACACTTTTCTTGAAGTGGCTAGTGTGTGCATTTGCTGTATGGTGGTACAGGTCACTGGCAACATCTGTAAAGTACTTGGGGACAAGGTTGCTTTGGAGAACTTGAGACAGGTACTAATTGGAATAAGGTAGGTCTGGCTTCATCAAGGAACTACTTTTATCTTCAAAAGAGAGAAACACGCACTGGCTCTCCACTCTAGGCCAGTGACAGTGAAGACAATGAGTCTGCTCTGGGGCTTAGAGCTGTGTAACTACAGTCCAGTCAACCTAGCTATGCTCACGGCATCTTCTACACAGTGGATTATAACTGCACAGGCATGGCAGGGAAAGGCTCAGGAACTGACATATTCCTTGCAGCTCTCAAGCAGAGCTAGACTTGGACATGACTACGGATGACCCTTCCACCCAACCCCCATAACATGCTGCAGCTTGTACCTGAAGACTGTGGCAGGGGGACCATCGCAGCCTTGAAAAGAGAAAGGCAAAGTCAGACTTGGATGGCCTGGCACAGGGACAAATAGCCCAGATTGCTGAATCTAGTAGAGTAGGTTACTTACTGTTTCACCAGGCTGCAGTACAGGGGCTGGGGAAGAAAAGAACATGTCACTCTGCTGCCCAGCAGCTGCCACAGCTCTGCGTGCCCTGAGCACCGGGAGCCTGGACAGCTGCTCACCATTTCTTACCCTGGAAGCTCTTACGTGGCAGGGCCCACCCTCACACTCTCAGTTATAAGAGCATCCAGAGGCACTCTGTGGAGTCCCTGTGCCTTCTCTGTATCTGCTGGGGATCACCTACCTATGTCCTGAGTGGGGACAGGCTCTGGACAGTTCCCCTGAGGCTAGGCAGGTGGAAATTCAGTCACAGGAGGAAGTACCTCTGTCTCTCCTGTAGAAAACCTTGGGAAGTTTACTGGAGCGCTTGAGGTAGAAGAACCCAGCCACAGAGAGGATGAGGCCTGTGCTGATGAAGAGTGTCCCCAGGAAGAGGGAGGCTGCCACATGAGGACCCCCTGCAGGCAAACCAACAGCTGTCAGGAGAGCCTCGGTCTTGGGGGATGGATACCGATACAGTGTTCCTTGCTTAACCCCTGGGGCCCACCATTCCCCAAACATACCTGAGCCCCGACTAGGCACCAGTCACATGTCAGAGCAAAGGCTCTGCACTCCTCCACAAGCCCAACACAGCTCGCCACAAGACAAGGGACATCCTAGTGCCCATTCTCTCCTGGACCAGGCTAATTCCTGTGCTCTCTCCATTAGACTGGCCCCAGCCTCTGGGAGTGAACCAAAGCCTCCAGCCTGGCAGCAGGTGCTTCTGCTGTACCTCACTTTTGATACATGCAGTTGCCCCCTGCTCGGCTCCATTTGTTTGGGGTCAGGACATGCTAGGGGGTTATTAGTTGACGAACAGTGTAACTGCCAGCTACAGCAAATGACTTTCTTTCTTTCTTCCTTTTGTTTGTTTTCGAGATAGGGTTTCTGTGTGTGACAGTCCTAGATGTCCTGGAACTCACTTTGTAGACCAGGCTGGCCTTGAACTCACAGAGATTCTCCTGCCTCTGCTTCCTAAGTGCTAGGATTCAAGGGGTGTGCCACCACAGCTTGGCCTCAGGAAGTATTTTTCTTTTTTTTTTTTTTTTTTTTTTTTTTTTGCTGATGCTCTAATTTTTAATAGAGTTTCTTACAGAGGGGTATACATAGAAAGGGACTCAGCCAGGTTTTATATAATTAGTAACACAGGATTCCTGTCAGTGGACTTCACTGTCACAGCTCCACAGTATGTTAGCAGCTGTGCGTTTCTTTTATCATTTGTTCATTTTATTGTTTTTAACTCTTTTTTTTCTTTTTTTTTAGTTTTTAAAAATTAATTTATTTTTAAAAATAACCTTTTCTCATTTTTACATACCTATTCCACTCCCATTCCCTCCCCTCCTCCTAATCCCCCACCTTCTCCCCACTGCACCTGCCATCCACTCTTCAGAGAGGGTAAGGCTTCCCAAGGGGAGGCAACAAAGTCTGATACATTACTTTGAGGTGGGACCAAGGCCCTCCTCTCAAGGTATCCCTCAAAAAAGAATGGGCTACAAAAAGCCAGTTCAAGCAAAAGGGATAAATTCTGGTCCCACTGCCCGTGGCCATAAAGACTGCCCCAACCATACATCTCATCCACATTCAGAGGGCCTAGTTTGGTCCTAGGCAAGTTTCCCCACTGTCATTCCAGAGTCATTGAGTTCCCACTAGCTCAGGTCAGCTGTGTCTATGGGCATCCCCATCATAGTCTTTGTTCATATTATCCTCTCTTGAACTGGTCTCCAAAAGCTTGGCCCAGTGCGTAGCTGTGGATCTCTGCATCCATCAGTTGCTGGATGAAGGTTCTATGATTCTTAAGGTAGTCATCAATCTGATTACAGGGGAAGGCCAGTTCAGGCACATTCTCCACTATTGCTTAGAAACAGACAAGATCTCCCGGGAAATATCTTTCTTACTGAGACAGACTCCGTGGACCTTGCTCTGACTCATTAGCATTGTGCAATAGATGTGTCTATACTACCCCTACCCTAAACATCATTGTTCTGGGCCACTGACTTCCACTGTTAAGGACAGCACCTTCAAGTGCAACTTCTGGTTGAGAGGAGAGATGGGTTCTAAGACCCATGGGAAGAACTGAGCCCTCTCAGAATAGGACTCCAAGCCTAAGATCCAGCACTGTTGAAGGATGAGAGTCAGAGTGATGTGTCCCTAAAATGACAGGGTCGCCTAAGAAGAGGCAGTCTTGTACTGGAGCTCAGTCCAGCTTCCTAACCTATGGGGCTCCTCTGCCTTGGGTGTATTCTCCTTACCAGCACCACCCCAGTCCCTTCTCTTGCTTGCCTGGTCACACTGCTACTTCAGATATATTCTTCCACCCTTTACTCCTCAGGCCTTCATTTAAGGTAGACTTGAGGACTCTGGAGATACAGTCATCAGGTAAATAGGGCTTGTCCTTTCCTTGAAAACAGATCAGGAGGCATGACCTGTGTGTCTGCAGTCTCGTCAGTGGCTACATCCTATAAGAGCAAGATGGGATGGGGCAATGCAATCCCTAGGGCCCGGGGGTCAGAGTGGACTATGTCTGCTGTGGTCTCAGTGGTTCAGGATTGGCACCGGTACTAATACCAACTCTAATTAATGATGGGCTCCATCCCCTGTCTCAGGTCCTAATCAGAGGCACAGTTCTGGATTTATGAATTAAAAGACTTACCAAAATGTGGCTGTCCAGGTGTCCCTGAGCTCCTGTTCATAGGAAACTGCATGCCCCGGCCAGTAACTATGGGAGAGCAGAATTGAGTAGAGGTCTGGGCCACGCCAGGTACCCTACTGGGGCCTCCACATATAGTCCTAAAGGGACATCTCAGGTTAGAGATGAGAAAGTAAGGAGCAGTTCTCACCCACAGCAGTCCTCAGTGAACAGAACACTCAGGGAGGGACTCCAAGGGGCTGCTCACTAATAGACAACATTCCTGGGCAAGGTGGGTACCGCCGTTGGAGAGGACAAGTACACTGGTTCCCTTGGTTTCTCCCCAAATAGGACATGAGGACCCTTGTGAAGTATGGGGGAACTGGGGTAGGTAGCTTGGAGAAGACATACGAATTCTGCACTCAGAGTCATTGTATTTCGGGAGGGTCCCGTTCCAGCACCGGACACAGCTAGCACTCCCATCTGCATTCCAGTGCCTGTAGCAACCTGTACCAGGAGGAGATAAGGGTTTTCAGTCAAAGTAAGTCAAGGTCATTTCACTATCTTCTGTAAACTTTTCTGTATTATGAATTGGTAATTTTCAACTCAAGAACATTAACATGATGTGGAAATCTGTGGGCACAGGCTCCAATTCTAGAAAAAGAAATAAACTCAACAGAAAGCATAGAGTTTTCAACCAACCATTCATGTGGATGCCCATCATTAAGGCAGTCATTTCTTTTCTGGATGCCTCAGGAGACTATTCAAAGGTACTTAGCTAAAATGAATAGGTATTATGTTAAGGTCTAGCCTTATCGAGCAGAACCATTTCCTCGAGGATACTGCCGACATATGGCAGTGTGCCCTCACTTGGGCCTTGATATGGGGACAGGTGCACACAGGCTTGTTTGTTGTCCCTGTGCTATTTCCCAGGATCTTCTGTAGCAGGATCAAGCCAAATGTCCATCCAAAGTTGGCACTGACCAAAGCTACACCCACACAGAGGCTCACAATCATCCATAACTCCAGTTCCAGAAGACCTGATGCCCTCTTCCGACCCCTGAGGGTACCAGGTGTGCATGTGGTGCACATGTACACCTAGAGGCAAACATTCACACATAAAAGAAAAATAAATCATAAAAAAGGGGGATACCTCAAGAGCTTTTAAGTCCTGAAAGTGCTATACTGGCTTAGTTTTCTTCTGAACCCTCTGCCTCCTCCTCTGAACCTCCCTCTCCCTGTGTCTCAGCCCTTCATAGAACAGTCCCCACAGGGTCCTGCCTACACCAGACAAGGATGTGGTTAGGTTACTCAAGAAGGAAATCCAGGTAGGCCTCCTCTGAGCAACACCACAGCCTGTGCTGCCCAAGTTCCTCCATTCCCTCAGCTGTCTTGAGACACTGAGGAAGGATGATGGGGCGGTGATTAGTCTGCTATTTACTTGTAACAATGATGCTTACCTGGGCCACATAGGCCTGTGCCTGGGCAAGTAGCATTGAAGTCTACCATATCCATACAGCACTCAGGCTGTGGGGCCTAGAGGAGAGACATTAGAGAGACAGGGTGGTGAGTGCCTAGCTCATGCCAACAACAGCACTGGTCATAGCAGGGTCTTAGCTTTCTCACTACCCATAGCTCCTAAACTCTCTAGGTGCAAGTGACATCCCTTCAATAAGTGAGAATTCCTACCCGACTCCTACTGCAGCCTGTGTTGAAACAGCACAGGGAAGATTCCAGCCCTCACCATAGAGACCAAACCTGGAAGTTACTAGGCAGACTTGGATATTTCTACAAACACTTGGACTCCATGCCTGTCACATTGCATGAATCACTATCCAACAGGTCCTTCTTCCACTGTGCAGAGCCTGTGACCAGTGAATATTTGATGACTGAATAAGCTATCAAATATAAGGCTAGAATCTGGCGAGGTGTGTCCAATACCAGCTACCCAGTCTCCCAAAGGCCAGAAAGGGTAAGACCTAATGAATTAGTGTGAATTGGCCTGGGGCATGGGCCTCAGACAGCCTGGCATGGTATGGCACAGAACAAACTTCCCTAAACTAGAATACTTTCGATACTGGAGAGAGCTCAAAGGAAGTCTTTGAGCTTTACCTGCAAGGAGAGGCTAAGGCCCTCACAGAGCACTGCCCTCCCTGTATTGAAAGGGTAGGTCCTTGTCTCTGAAGCCATAGGGACAAGAACCTGAACAGCAGCCTAGCTAGGTCCCTAGTTAGGACCTGTCCAATTGCACTTCCTTAGAAATATCCCTCTTCCCCAAACCTTAACATAAATATATAGGTGCCCTATTTCTTTATAGATGCACTCAAGAAATTTAAAACATATTAAATTGGCCTTTTCTCTATTTTTAATTTCTAAATTTTATTATTTTTGCTTTGAGACAGGGTTTCATTATGCAGTTTTGGCTGGCCTGAAACTCAATGTGTAAGCCAGGGTGGCCTCCAGGGTGGCCTGAAACTTATAGATATCCACTTGTCTCTGCCTATCAAGTGCTGGTCTAGAGAACAAGTTCCAGAACAGCCAGGGCTACACAGAGAAGCCTTATCTCAAAAACACAAAACAAAAAAACTCTCACAATTCTACTGTCTCAGTCTCCTGTGGGATAGGATAACAAGTTTGTGGTTTTCCTGTGATCTGAATTTAGTTAACAGGAGTGTCTAAAGGATAACAGGACATAACATGATGAATAAAAATCTAGACACAGATATTGGGGTTCAAGGTGAAGATTAGAAAAGCAAAACAGCTCAGCCACTAGTGAAGTCTTACCTCTACCAAGGCTGGGCGACTGCAGACTGAGCCCCGAGCCTCTGTCTCCTCCAGTCTTACATCCCCTTTGGTGCTGGGATTAAAGGTGTGTGACTCCCTAGGACTGGGACTAAAGGTCTGAGTCACCAACACCTGGATTTGTTTCTGCATTGGTCTTGTGTGGCCCAGGGTGGCCTGGAACTCACAGAGATTCATCTGCCTCTGTCTCCCAAATCCTGGGATTAAAGGTGTGTGATACCAATGCCTAGCATCTAGTGAATTGGTTTTACCTTCTAATCTTCAGGCAAGCTTTCTTTATTAAAACATAAATAAAATATCACTATAACAGGGAAACAGGGGGATATTATACCACCATGGGAAGGATCAAGGCTCAGTGCACGCCATTCCTTTCATTACCTTGGCCAGGTTAGTAAGGGACTCCCCATACATCACCCCATCCTGCCTGACTTGGAGAGAACAATGGTGGATACCAAAGCCAGCCCACTGGAGTGTGACTGTCTCTGTTTGAGTACTTCTGGTGGGAGCCAGGATGCCTGACCATGCCTGCCTACCAGTCATTAGCTCCTGAGTAAGCAACAACTGAGCAGGCAGCTCTAGACCACGGGCAGTTCTGGAGGGTGGCTCTGCAGAGACTCTAGGTCAGCTATAGCAATAGGTGGGTATGGCAGAGAAACTTCTAGAAGTCATAATACAACGGGTGATGGACAGTGTGGTCATTCCAACACTAGCAGTGGACTCCACCGGGATTCTACCAGGGTCAGGCTAACATCAGTGAACCCTAAGTTCAAAGACTGAAATTTTTATGGGATGAGAATCTATTGCCTCTGAGGAGGCTCCAACTTCTTGCCATGGGGCACAGGATACCCACCTTGCTTTCTGTGGACTTGCTCATGCCTCCCATCAGGAGGCCAGCCAAGAGCACGAGACACTGCAGGGTCATGCTGGGGGGCTGACAGGGAGACCTGTAAGACAGAACAGGGTTCGGAGAAGGTGCTGATAAGGGTGAGTGGGGCTAAGTGGGAGATAACCAGGAGGGAAGGGTTTTAATGGAAAGAGCGGGGCATCCTTCCAGGGACGCAGTGAGAACTACAGACATCGGCTCCCTCTACCTGGGGATCAGCTGTTAGCACAGCTAGGACTGTGAGGCGCTCACAGCCGTACACCGCTATTTAAGGCTCAAAACTCAGGAATCAAGGCAGGTGGGTGGGCAGAGCCTTGATTGAGAGGGATGACCTGGTATTCCTTCCAATGATATGCTGTCAGGATTCTGAAAGCAAGACCACCGTACCTCTGATTTCCCAGGATGCAGACACACTGCCCTAGTGAAGCCCTAATCACATTTTAAGCACTACTAACAAGATTCGGTTTCCTTGTGTGTAGCTAGGGGGTTGGAGTGGACATGGGTTCATTGGGAATTTTCAGTGATACAGTGTTCTGCCTTTCTGAACTTGGGGAAACAAGAGGATATAAAGTTATGGTCCAGAATAATACCCAAACTTAAAAATGTATAGTCACAAGTCAGGGATGGTGGCATGTACCTTTAATCTGAGCACTCAGGAGGTAGAGGCAGGTGAATCCCTCAGTTCTGGACAGCCAAGGCTACACTGAGAAACCCTGTCTCAAAAAATAAAAACCAAGCAAACAAAAAAGAGTTGTAAGAGTAGTAACATGAGGAAGGATCCAGAGTCGAAAAAGGAGCAAAATATTGCATCAAGATTTGAACCTTAGAACACCTGGTGCCTGAAAACTGCCAGCTTAGTGCTTATATGTCCTGTTTTTAATATAGAGGAAAACATACCACAGAGCCTTGAGGCAATATCATGTGTACAGTTCTTAATAATTTTTTCCTGTTTTGGGAATAAGGGTTTCTTGTATCCTGATTGACTTTGAACTCAATCTGTACCAATACTACCATTTTTTCTAAAAAACTTAAAAAAATTTATGCATGTGTGTTTATCTGCATACCATAAACATGCCTGACACCTGCAGAGGTCAGAAAAGGATATGAGATCTACTGGAACTAGAGTTACAGATTATAACAGTTACAGTTATAATCTGCCATGTGGGTGCTGGGAATAGAATACAGGTCAGTGCTCTTAACTGCTGAGCCATCTCTCCATCTCTTTCATCTCCTCTTGTCTCTACCACAGAGTGGTGTGATTACAGATGTGCAACATCACACTTGATTTATGCAGGGCTGGGGACTGAACCCAAGGCTTTGTGTACACTAGGTAAGCATTCTATCAACCGAGCTACATCCCCATTCTTTTTAATTTTTTCAAATATTATTTTATGTATATGAATGTTTTAACTATATGTATATATGCACATCACATGTGTGCTTGATGCCTACAGAGACCAGAAGAGGACATCAGATCCCTGAAACTGGAGTTATAGACAATTGTGAACTGGCATGTGATTGTTAGAAACCCAACCTGGGTCCTTTACAAAAACAGGTACTCTTAACCACTAAGCCATCTCTATAGTCTTCCTCTCCCTGAAATCCCTTTTATAACAAACTTAAATTAACCCATAAAGTGGGACTTATAAACCAATCAAAGTCCAAAATAAGATTTGAAGAATTTTTTTAAAGGTTTATTTATTTATTATGTATACAACATTCCTTCCATATATGCTTGCAGGCCAGAAGAGGGCACCAGATCTCATTATAGATAGCAGCGAGCCACCATGTGGTTGCTGGGAATTGAACTCAGACTCTCTGGAAGAGCAATCAGTGCTCTTAACCTCTGAGCCATCTCTCCAGCCCCTTGAAGAATATTTTTTGCCATAAAGGTTACCTCTTAAAAAACAAAAAAAAAAAGTTAGCTAGGTGTGGCAGATTTCTTGTGAGTTTGAGGACAGTTTGGTTTGTTTACCTAGTGAGTACCAGGCCAGTCAGAACTACACAGTAAGACCCTGTCTGAAAAAACAAAAGCAGGCCTGGAGAGATACTGTCTGCATTTCCAGAGGACCTGGGTTCAATTTCTATCACCCACATGGCAGCTGTCTGTAACTCCAATTCCAGGGGGGTCTGACGTCCTCTTCTGGCCTCTGAAGGCACTGTATGCATGTAGAACATAGATATACATGAAGGCAAAACGTCCAAACACATAAAACAAAACAAAAAAAAACTTTAAACAAAAAACATTATCTCTTAAGAGACTAAGGATGTATCTCAGCTGGTAAAGCACTTGCAAGAGTGGCAATAACCTGGTGGGATGGTACACACCCTGCAATCCAAACATTTAGGAGCTGGAGACAAGAGGACCAAAAGTAGGATAGCTACATAGTAAATTCAAGACCAGCCTGAGAAACCATGACGTCCTGTCTCAAGTGTCAACAACAAAAATAAACAAATGTATGTATGTTACCTCTATGCGGACGTTTTACTTAGCAGAGGCCACCGCAGCACTGAAATAGCAGGCAAGCTGGGCATCTCAGTTCTGGAACAAGAGCAGCCTGAGCTTTTCGTCTAGGTAGACTCTCTGAGAGAACACAGAGAAGCTTCAGTTTGAGGTTAAAAATGAGGAACTACACTCTGAGGCAGTAGGAAACCCAACTTGAGACCTAGGAAGGGATCATGTGGGTTTACATGACCCATGAGGATGAAGGTTCAGGATGACATAGGCCCCAATCCTATCAGGAGGGAAAGTGGGAGCCTGTACAATATCTCACTTTATACTGGATTTAAGCCAGGACTATCAAGAAAATTATTGGAGGGAAGAGGTGGTGCTTAGGCCTGCAGGAGCCACCTGTGAAGCCTGATCCTGAGCCTTTCTGGCATTCATTATTAGTACATGCTTTTGTTTCAGTATTGTATGCTGAGTTTCAAAATACATTCTGGGTTTGACTTGACTTCTCCAAGGTGTGAAATCTTCTTAGAGATATATTCATATCATATCCTCAACTATAGGATGCAATCAAATGTCAACTTTTCTGTGAATTTGAGGTTTGCTCACCAAAGGCCGTATTTCTCTGATCTGGAAGAAAACTCCATCTGTTCATTCTGAGACCCAGGTCAAGTAGAAAGAAGATGCCAAAATCCAACATTCAATTAACACTGCCATTTGCTGTTTGGTCAACTTTATTGAAGCATAATTTGCACACAATAAATGACATCCATTTAAAGTAAACAAGTCAGGGAGTTCTGGAAACCCTATGAGGCCATCACTACACCAAACAAACAAACAAACAAACAAATAAACAAATCAAAGCCTTCCATGAGCCCCCTACAACCTTCAGTCCTAGGTAGTCAAGCTGGCCTGGTTGTCTATAATTTCATAAAAATAGAACATTCTGGTTCTTTCAGTCAGCACCAAGAATCTTTAGATGCACTGTGTTCTGTGTGTTCTGTGCATTACTACGTTATTGTTATGTGGCGATACCTCATTTCCTTTACCTTCCACCTGCTGACAGGTTCCTAGTTGTTCCTATTATTTTGGAAATCACAGGTCCTTGAGCACACACCATATGAACCTGTATTTCCATTTCCTATAGGTAAATAACCAAGGAATTTGTATTGGATCAGAGGTGTGTTTAAACTGTCAAACATTTTTCCATATAGTGGTACCTCTTTACTTTCCCACAAGCAGAGCAGAAGAACTCAAAGGCTTTGCATCCTCACCAATATTTGACATTGGTGGGCACATAGTGGTATCTCATTATCAGCATTTCCCTGACTAGTAATGATTTGCATCTTTTCATGTCATTAGTCACATGTCAAAAGTCACTATTGAAGTATCTTTTCACATCTGTTTTAATTGTATTGTCTTCCAATTAGTAAGACATGGTAGTTGTTTAACATGTACTTATTTTTCACTTCATGCACGCGCACGTGTGTGTGTGTGTGTGTGTGTACGTGTGCACGAGTGTACACACAGGTCATAAAACAGAAACTACAGCATGCATGTGGAGGCCAGAGAACAACAGTCAGTTCTCTTCTTTCATCATGTGGGTTCCAGAGATCAAATTTAGGTTGTCAGCCTTGGCTGTAAGACCCTTTACCTACTGAGCCATCCCATTAGCTCAGCAGTTCTGTACATAATTTTTAAATTTTGATTATTTGCATATGTGCACATATATATGCATATATATACTTGCTATGGCGTGCATGGAAGTCAGAGGAAAACTTGTGGGAGTCAGTTCTCGTCTTTCACTATGTGGTCCTGAGAGCTAAACTCCGCTTTGTGAGGCCTGGTGGCGAGTGCCTTTGGCTGAGGATTTCATTGGTACCTATTCTTTCCTGTTATACGTGGTGTATATACGTGCCGAGAGGCATATGGAGGCCAGCAGTCCACACCGTCTTTTTTAATCCTTCTCCACCTCATTTTTGAACTTCAATGAACAGACAATAGCTGCTACTGAGAGACATTGGATTGTGGAAGGAACTGCTAAATTAAACCTATCTATCTATCTATCTATCTATTTTAATTCAAGGGTACAATTTATTTTTCTTTATTTTTCTTTTTTCATTTTTATTTATTAAAAATTTCCACCTCCTCCCCTCCTCCCACTTCCCTCCCTCAACCTATATATTTTAAGACTGTGTTGAGGCAGAAGCAGGTGGTGAGGCAAAGGTAGGCAGATCTCTGTGAGTTCAAGGCCAGCCTGGTGTATGGAGCAAGTTCCAGGACAGGTTCCAAAGCTACACAGAGAAACCCTGTCTCAAAACAAAACAAAACAAAACCCCAAAACCAACCCCCCGAAAAATCCCCCACCCCCCCAAAAAAATATCTTAACGTCAAAATGAAATTCAGAAAGAATTTTGCATTGGAGTTGAGGTTATGCCTTTGTTTCCACAGGAAACAAAAGTTATGGTTCTCTTCCAAGTTAATAGATATCAGATTTAACTGGGGTGACCTCGTGAGGATCTTGGCTACAGACATGAGGGAAAGGTCAAAAAAGACTACAGACAGGTGACATATATGCTGATCCCTCTGAAACTAGACGAGACATGATAAATCTTGTTGGTACAGAGTCCTCAAGAGAGTCTGGTTATACAGTCCAAACAGACTGATGTCTTTTACCTGCTCAAACATAAAACAAATCATCTTTATCTGACTTGTGCACACCACACATTCCATACTTGTGTTAATACAGATATGTATAATACCTTTAAATGCTTAGATGTTTTCAGAACAAAAGGATCCGATATGAAGACAAGTAGCCCAATGATCCAGCCTCTCAGAATGCCTCAGTAATAGTTTCCTCAAAAACCTACACCCAGAACAACTTGGAAGCTGCCAGCTGAGATGATCTAGTCTCAGACTACTCCAGCTAAGACTTCAGAGAAGCTCTGCCTTTTCTCATCTCCCAGAGACTAAACGAAAAGTAATACAGCTAGCTCTCCCAGGATTTGACAGTTATCCTCATTTTCTAAGGATCCCCTAGAGATGCCATCACCCCCAGAAAACAGGAAGCAGTCTAGAGAACCTGACGCCCACATTCCCAAGAACTGGTGTTGAAGAGAGGCTGCTTGTCCCTGGCTGCTCAGCCCCAAAATAACAACACAGAAATTGTATTAATTAAATCACTGGTTGGCCCAAAATGGAGTGGGTCATTTGTGGTCATTCGGTGGGTTATGGATGTCTGTTATTGTTTAGGGGGGTTGGTTACAATTATTGGTCAAGTCAAAAAAAAAAAAACAAAGGAGATTAGATTCAGGACTCTCTTTCTGAAGAGAAGAGAAAATATAAAAATGATAGGACAAAAGAGTAGATTACTGAATCTACTTTCAAACTAAAAAACTACTAGTCTCAAAATTTTACATAGATATGAATTTTTATATACTGATACAAATTTATGGTTATTTTTGTTAGAACATATTATGCATGTTTCTACTCTTATTTAAGGTATTGTACCTATGCTGCTCATTTTAAAATGCAATATAAAGTTCTAGTCGTTAAAAGCTATTATTAGAAACTGTCTAAGATAATTAAGAAATGTAGGTTAGGGGGCTGGAGAGATGGCTCAGTGGTTAAGAGCACTGCCTGCTCTTCCAGAGGTCCTGAGTTCAATTCCCAGCAACCACATGGTGGCTCACAACCATCTGTAATGAGGTCTGGTGCCCTCTTCTGGCCTGCAGACATACACACGACAGAATATTGTATACATAATAAATAAATAAATATTAAAAAAAAAAAAAGAAATGTAGGTTAGTAGTCAGTCATCTATAACAATCAAAGTTGCGGCCATGTTAGATGTTTTCAAGGTCAAACAGATATATTATAGATAGACAGACAGATGGTCTTCAAACATTTCAGAGACTGATGTGGGATTTCCCTCTGTATGCTATGAATATGTTTATTACCATTGGTTATTAAAGAAGCTGTTTCAGCCAATGGCTTAGTAAAGCGAGGCAGGAAATCCGAACAGAGATATATAGAGAAAGTAGAAAGTAGGTGGAGTCAGGGAGACACCATGTAGCTGCTGAAGGAGAAAGATGCCAGATGCCAGTCAGAACCTTACTGGTAGGTCACAGTCTAAGCTGTTCTCAAACTCAGTCTACTCATGAGTGACTAGTACCTGCATGGGGCCAAAGGCTGCCAGATGCCCTGGAACTTGAGTTACAGATGGTTGTAGGCACCATGTAGGTGTTGAGAAATCCTTGGTCCTCTGCAAGAACAGCAATTACTAAGTTGCTGAACCATCTCTCCAGCAAAGTTTAAGATTTATTTTTAATTATGTAATTATATGTATGTATATTTATAAACATAAATGCAGGTGCCAGTGGAGGCCAGAAGGAGTTGGATTCTCCGAAGTTACAGGCGGTTGTGAGCACCTGGATATGGGTGCTGGAACTAGAACTCACATTTTCTTGCTAATTATTTGCTCCTAACCACTAAGCCATTTTTCCAGCCCCTAAGCAACGCTCAGTATCATCACTGTCATTATTATTATTTTGGTTTTTCAAGACAGGGTTTTTTGTGTAACCCTGGCTGTCTTGGGGTCTGGAACTCAAGAGATTTGTCAACCTCTGCCTCCGGACTGCTGGGATTAAGTGTACAACCACTGCCTGGTAGCAATGTTCTTTACATGAATTATGCTATAGATCCATAGATCCAAATTAACATAGAAAACAGATGCCAGCCAGTTCTGAGAGGTGTTGTGACAGACACTGCCAGTGGACAAGATGAGCTCAAGTTGCACTGAGGAAGACTAGTAAGGCCAGAATATGTAAATTAAGAAAAGAAACTATCTGTTAAGAAAAGAAACCATCTATATAATCCAGATCTATAGTTCCTTCTACAGGCCTTAGGGTAAGAAAAAAAAAGGACTCAAATTATTGTGTGGTTCTTAATTATCAAGTGCACCCACAATCAAACTATTTTTGTGACCTGGATCAACCTGGGGAAGCCAAGCTATGAATTTACGCAGGAAAAAGCAGGGGCTGAACAGCAAGGGCCTAAAATGTGAGAGACCCTAGATTCAACTCCCCCACCCACACCCCCGGGACCCCCACACCACCTACACGACCAAGGGGGTAAAAACCTAGAACAGAAACTACATCCGTTCTGCCTTCTCTGTACACTGTGGTGATACTAAGAAACACCACCAACAAGATTATGGGCCAATAGAAGCAGGATGATCCCAAGTTTGAGGCTGTCAAGGGCTACATGGCCAGTCCCTATCTCAAAACAACAAAAACAAAATACTGGGCCAAGTTTGATACCTTTAAATTAAACAGGCCTACAGAGTTGAGAATTCACTAATGGAGTTGCGGGTGTACACTGCAAGGGCCAAAAGCCAAAACGAGGTAGGAAAAGTATCACGGTAATATACTGGGACGCACAGCAAAATCCTCAACTTAATCCCACATCTCCCAAGTCCTGCTCTGCTCCCTCTCAACCTCCCCTCCCTCCATCAGTCCATTAGCTCCGCTCGCGGCTCCTCCCCTACCGCCGCATCACTGACAAAATGGCAGCGAGGCAGGGTGGGCACTGCCCCGCCGGGTCTTGGGCGACTTCTGGAGTCTGAGCTACCCTAGCCCCGCGGCCTTTATCGCGTCGTTGCAGCCGACACCTCGGTCAGACTGGGCCCTCACTCACCATACACCGGGCGGATTCCTCTTTCATACCCGCCGCCTCGCCAAGGCCCCGCGAGCGCCCCCTGGGACTTGTAGTCTCTGGCCCAACCCCTGCCCAGGCGTCGGCGGTGTCGCTCTGGACAAAAAAACTACAACTCCTAGCGGCTCCCGCCTCCGAGGCGTTCATCCGGGATTCTTTCCAGGCAGCTGGATTGGGTTTGGAGCACTGATTGAGAAATGTGGACTAGGGGTAGGGGGTGTCGGGAGTGGGGCGCGCGGGGAGGAGGGGGGGAAAGACACGAAACCACGACTATATTCCCCTTAGCTGCGGCCAATCAGAGTCTAGTCTGGCTCTAGGCAGTTGGGTAGGAGTTGTGGCCTCTGAGTACCTTGCCAACTTGCCCTAGAGAATCTGAAAAGATCTCATATCTTCCACCAAGGTAGTTTTTGAAACGTTTAACTGGCCTTAGTTTGTGACTGAGATGGGTCAAATGTAGGGGGAAAGGGCCAGCCGAAGAAACACACCCCGACCCTGAAACCAGAGCCAGTGAAAGAAACACACCCTAGCCCAGAAACTAGAGCCAAAAAATTAAAAAGGGCCAGTGAAACCAGAACAAAGGAAACGCACTCTGCCCCTGACCAACTCAGCACAGCAATCAACCAACCGTGAGCAGGAAACCCTGAGAAAGAAAAATAACCAGTCCCTGAACACGAAATTTAACCAGTTTATCCAAGCTCAGGGATTGAAATCCAACCAATCTCCACTCTAAAAATCTTCACCCCGGAAAAACTCCGCCCCTCAGAAGCCCTATATAAGCCCTGTGCCTGTTCGGGTCACTGCTCCCTTTTCCACTCTGGCAGGGTCAGCCACTCTCTGGATTCCTCCCTACCAATAAATCTCTTGAATGAGGTTTGGGTGAGGACACCTAGCAGAACTTCACTGGGGCAACTCTGCCCTGTTATTGCATTGGGGAAACCTTTCCCCGGAGCAGAGCTATAAGCTGCTGCACGTAAGTGGCTTTGTGGTATTCTTTGGCTCCTGTTTGCCATAATACTTTTCCATTCAAGCTGCAACACTTACAGCGAATGCATTTCAAACTCACTCAAAACATGATTTGATTGGTTTAACCCCATTTCAAAGTGAACATTTACGATGTTCAAATTAAGCTTTTTGTAAAAAATCTGGGTTTTCTAATTCATCTTGGGTGTCTGCTCAGAGATTTGGACTCTGGTTCCTCACAAGCGGGAGGCCACACCCACACAGAGCTTAGCAAGGAGCAGCTGAGGTCACTGCAGGGAACACTTAGGAGTCTGTCTCTGGGCTACCTGATCTCTGGTCTTTCCAACTTTGCGAGCCTCAGGCATCTGGACTTCTTAACAGAAGCTATCCTAAGACTCCCTGACCGCGCCACCTTCACACAAGGAGAAGGAGACTCTGAAGTGGAGTTGGATCACTAGGCAGTACTTGGGCGTACACCAGGGCTGTGTTTTGAATAAAGATTGGGAATGTCAGGCTTTGTTCTGTGCCTGCGTAGAGACTGGTTTTTCACCCTGTTCTGGAGCTGCCTCCAGTGCAACCTCGCTGCCAAGCCCTAGCTCTCCACTAGGCCTCCCTCACTTCCTGGATACTGACGTGACCTCAGTTCCTCTGATCTGGTAGAGCCGGTCAGACAACTCAGCATTCTTTGTGCAACCTCTATTTACTTTTCCCTGGAAATCTAGTCTGAGGCTCAGCGTCTCTAAGGATTCCGAGAGTGGCCATCTTCAGGGACCACTGTGGCACAGGGTGATGGGACTGTGGTAGAATGGGCGGGGCTGTATTCTTCCCAGATGAGTGACATCAGGAAGGCATCATTTCTGCTTTTGTTGTTTTGGATTCTTCCTCTGGGCTACCTCTAGTATTTCTTACAAGTATTTGAAAAGGACAGATAGATGTCCTTGAAAGGGTTGTAAGTGTTCGCTCACCAGAGACTTGACTCCTTTGAGAGCTGGTATACCAATGAGGGGAGGAGACATTGGTCACTAGTGTCCCTCCTCCCACAATTCCCCCATCCCTTCACTCTGGGACGATTTGATCAGCTAGCCCCTCTGAAAAAAAACATTCTCCAAGTTGAAGGTTTTTGTAAAATCTGGGCTTTCTACATTATCCTCGGTGTCTGCTCAGGGACTTGGACTCACAGTGGCTCAATTTTCCCAGCTGACCTCTGTATGTTGGCCATCCAGCATGAGTCCTATGATTGATTGTAGGTGCTGTCTCAGTATTTTTTTTTTCTTTTTCCAGGACAGGGTTTCTCTGTAGTTTTGGAGTCTGTCCTGGAAGGCAGGTCTCCTCTGTAGACCAGGCCTCAAACTCACAGAGATTCACCTGTTTTTGCCTCCTCTTGAATGCAGGGATTAAAGGTATGAGCCACCACATCTTGGCTTCTGTCTCAGTATTTTTGTTCAAGGTTAAATTATCAAAAATTTTCTATGAAAATAGAGCTCTGGTCTTAGAAAAGGGCATCATTCACCTGAGTTTCAGCTTCTGTGGCAGCTGGTGATGTCTTTTATCTCCAAGAATGATCTTAGAAGTGGTTCTGAGTACATTTAGCCGTCTAATCATCCAACATGGTATGTGGGGGCTAAGTTTGGGGGAGACTAGTGGAAGAGGCAAGTGTTATGTGAAAGAACTGTGAAGGGTCATGAGGCTTGTGATGCTGCAGTATGTGTGTGTGTGTGTGATTTTTCAGGACAGGTTGCTCTGTGTAACAGCCTTGGCTGTCCTGGAACCAGTTCTGTAGATCAGGCTGGTCTGCAACTCTCAGAGATCTGCCTGGAGTAAAGGTGTGTGCCCCACACCCAGTGTGGATCTGCACTTTCAAGTTCATGATTTTTCCTTTGCTCAGTAGCTACTTCCGTTCTCAGGAGTGCTTTTCCTTTCTTAATAAACTACCTCTATTTCTAACCATGTATGCCCAGACCAGTTCTTTGCCTTTGGTTTTACAAGCGCCTTAACACTTACCTGGGTGCTCTGGAATTCGGACCTGTACCTATAATACTGTCATTCCTAGAATACAATGAGTTGTATATTAACATGTTTCTTGATATCACAGGGGGATGATTTTGTTTTGTGTGTGTAATGTTTTGAAATTTGATTGCTGGGATATCAAGAATATACCACAAACCCATGACCTGGATGTTTTGTTTTGCTTTTTTTTTTTTTTTTTTGATTATTTGTTTCAGCACACCTGGGAACAAAGCCACGATTCTTAGGAGACTGGTGAAGACCAGAAAAAGTCTGTCTAAATGTCTCAAATAACCAAACAACTTTGGGCCCCTCAATTGCTGCCTCTGGTCTCTGTCCTTCAACCCATGTTTCAAAGCAGAACTTTCATCAGATGAAGAGCTCTCTCTATCTTTTTTGTTGTAGTGTTTTATTTGCTGTGTGTTTATCTAAACACACAAGTTAGCACAATTAGCAAGCCAAAGAGCATGAAGCTATCAAGGACAATTTACAGAAGTCAGTTCTCTCCTTCTATCTTGTGGGTCCAGGGATGCAAACCCAGGTCATCAGACTTGGTGTTGCATCTTTTATCTACTGAGCTACCTTGCCAGCCTTGTGTGGTTTTTCTCTTTTTGTCCACCCAGAGAATTATGTTGATTTCCTAATGTGAAGCTAGCCTTCTTTTCTGTGTAAAGTCCTACATGACTACAAACTGTTACCTTTTAATGTATTGCTATGTAAATTCTGCTAAAACTTTCCCAAGTATTGCTATTTTTGTTAAGGTTTTGTTTTGTATTGTATTTATTTATGACATAATGGTCTATAGATTTCTTTTCTCATAAAGTCTGTCTAGTTTGTGACTGGGGTGATGTTGCTTGGTCATGTACAATGGGTTGGAAGGTAATGCTGATTCTTTGACTTTGTGGGTGGGGTAACAAAGAATTGGTGGAAGCCAGGCATGTTGGTACCTGTCTTTAACCCTAGCCCTGGGTTCTATGAGAAAGTAGGCTGAGTAGTTGTGAGGAACAAGCTTGTAAGCACACCTCTGCATGGCCTCTACATCACTCCTACCCTGTTTTAGTTCCTGTACTGACTTCCTTCACTGTTGAACAGTGATAGGGAAGTTACTGTAGTTTGAATGTAGCTGGCCACTCAGGACTTGTGGCTTTGTTGTAGTGGGTATGGCCTTGTTGGAGAAAGTGTGTCACTATGGGGGCAGGCTTTGAAGACTCATAAGCTCAGGATACTGCCAAGTGTCTCAGTTGACTTCCTGTTGCCGGCAAACTGAAGGACTCTCAGGCACCACCACGTCTGCCTCTATGTTGCCATGCTCTGCATCATGATGATAATGGACTGAACCTCAGAAACTCTGAGCCAGTCACCCCAATTAAATGTTTTCTTTATAAGAGTTGTTGACCAGGCATTGTGGCTCACACCTTTAATCTCAACACTTGGGGGACAGAGGTAGGCAGATCTCTAAGTTCATCTACAGAGTGAGTTCTAGGACAGCCAAAACTGTTTCACAGAGAAATCCAGCATTAAAAAAAAAGTTGCTGAGGTTGTGGTATCTCTTCACAGCAATAAAGACAGAAATTGGTATCAGGGACTGAGGTATTGTTGTGACAGGTCTGAACGTGCTTTTGTGTGAAGGAATATGGACTTTGGAACTGTGGATTAAAAAGCAATTGAATGCTTTAAATGTTAGCAGGAGCATGGAAGACATGGGGTTCAATGTGGTTTGATGAATTGTGGGAGCCTTATTCAAGAAGTTTCAGAGGAGAAGAAATATAGTATGTTGTCTGGGGATTTTTTTTTGTGAATTTTGATGAAGAAAGTAGTTGTCTTTTGCTATTGTCCAAAGAGTCTGCCTAAGGCTAAAGCAAAGAGTTTTGGATTAATTCTGTTGACAGAAGAAATCTCAAAACAGCCTAGAATAGACTCTGTTCTGTGGTTACTAGTGTTCTTGCTTATAAAAATTTATAATGAAAAGGTGTAAACGGAGGCTGTATTTCATTCGTCTCAGTCTCCCAAACCCAAAAAAATTATACAGAAACTATATTAATTAAACACTGTTTGGCCTATTAGCTCAGACTTCTTATTAACTAATTCTTCCATCTTAAATTAACCCATTTCTATTAATCTGAATTTTGCCGCAAGGCTGTGGCTTACAGAAAGATGCCAGGTCCTTCTTCAGCAGCTGCATGGCATCGCCTTGACTCCACCTAATCTCTCTAATCTCTGTATGTATTATTCTAGCCTGGCTTATTCTGCCCTGACATAG